AGATGGCGCTGGAAACATTGAAATGGAATCATGAAATATTTAGTACAGTGTGTGTTGCTTTTACATCTACCAGATGGCGCTGGAAACATTGAAATGGAATCATGAAATATTTAGTACAGTGTGTGTTGCTTTTACATCTACCAGATGGCGCTGGAAACATTGAAATGGAATCATGAAATATTTAGTATAGCATGTGTTCCTTTTACGTCCACCAGATGGCGCTGGAAACATTGAAATGGAATCATGAAATATTTAGTATAGCATGTGTTGCTTTTACGTCTACCAGATGGCGCTGATTTTCAAAAAAGCATGCTTTTACAAAAAATCATGTTTTTACCTGTCACAGGTGTGGCATCTATATAATATATGTATATAAAAACATTTGAGTATTCAAATGCAACGTTGTGTCAAAATTTCAAAGCAATCGGAGATTAGCGATTTTGAACAAACAACCATTACATTTTTATTTATATAGATTATTAATTGCCTAAGAATTAAATAATCCTAAAATATTCTAACTATAGCACTGATTTGATAATATAATATTGAAAATTTGATGCCACAGTTTTTAATACTACTTATTTTCTTCTCAAATTTATATTTTAGGATGGCTCAACTATGCTCATTGAAGCTGCCAAGGGTGGTCACACAAATGTTGTTTCCTACTTATTGGATTACCCAAATAATGTTCTGTCAGTTCCAACTACAGACATGACACAACTCACACCACCATCTCAGGATCAGTCTCAGGTCAGTTTTTAACTTTGTCACTTGAAACAGCTTTTCGCCTTTACAGATTAAGATTAATAAAAATGTAAGTTTAAGTAAAAATCAATTAGATAAATTGAACTCAGTTAATTTCTGGATGTCTTAAAATACATCTGCAATTTCTTATATCTCTTGACTCTAGAGAGAATTTGAGGCAGAGTACTGTATATTCTTCCACAAGTTTTCTATATTTTAACTATAGAGAGATTGGACAGCCAACATAGAAGTAAATGTAAAATAGGTATATATAAATATAAAAATGCAAATGGAATGCAAAAGAATATATACTATATGTATTACATCATAAACTCCCAATTTAGCATAGCTCAGTTTATCAGACTGGATTGAACAGACAAAATCTATGTGCTATTTTATGCACCCATAAGTCTGTTTTTATGAATACAGAATCCTGTTTCAGTATAATGGAATGCTCCTTTCTCCAATTGGTATATTAAAAAGAAGAATTGTTATAATGGTAACTGAAGGCATTGATAATGTAATGCAAAGATCTTAAACAATCTTCTTTCCTTCACTAGCTTGTGTTTTGTTTTTTTTATGACGTGAGTTCAGGTACTGTATGCTGATTATAGCAATAGCACCTAGACTTATATATTGCCTTATAGTGCTTTTACAGCCCACTCTAAGCGGTTTACAGAGTCAGAATATTGCCCCCAACAATCTGGGATTATAGAATATATAGCGTAGAGCAGGAATGGGCAACTACTACAGCTTTACAACCTGTGGTGTGGGCTGGCTCAGGAATTCTGGGAGTTGAAGTCCACGTTGTGAAGTTGCCATAGTTGCCCATCCTGGCCTAGATGATTATTGCATAATCTTCAAAAGTTAGTTTAAGAATATCTAAAATTGGGGTTAAGTTATTTTGCAATAAATAATATATATTATCATATAATAGATGTTACAGTGAAAGGTAAAATTAAATCACAAAGACATATTTAGACACATCTGGGCTTTGGAAATCAAAGATGAATAAAATATATTGATCTAATCTTCACTTTGTATTTTGGATTGTGATGGCCATTTTGATTTTACTTAAATTATCCTTTTATATAACAAAAATTGTTTGTACTCTCCTCCGGTTTATAGAAACATAAAAACGTTTTAATGTTACTTCACAATTTCCTATTTAAAATCCTATTTCTCTCATAGTATGTTAGGCATTGTGTATCGTATAAGAAATAATGAATGAGAAAAAATATAGAGGTAGCTTATACAAAGACAGAAAAACTTAATTCAAATGGAGCAACTTTTATGATAGAAGTGAAGTGATGGAATGACTTTAGTACTGCTAAAAGCTAAACAAAGGGTTACATGAATAATACAAGTAAACCTAGAACTTTAAGACAGAGTGAGACTGTTCTAAACATGTTGGAGTAATGTATAGATTGCAATTTACCATTGACATGTTGGTTTTCTCTTGAGTTGATTTTACAGGTTCCACGTGTACCAATGCATGCACTTGCCATGGTTGTACCTCCCCAGGAACCCGACAGAGCTCCTCAAGAAAATCCCCCTCCACTTTTGACTCTCCAAAAAGGTTAGTAAATGATATTTCCTACAATTTATGGCATGTTAACATTCTGATTTGGGCATTTAGGGGATGACTTCTGTTTGAAACTATATTGTACAATTTTATCTTAACCATTAATAATAGGATGTATTGAAAACATAATGGCAGGAGCCATACTTTAAATTGTACTAGCTCAGGACATTGGTAAAATGATCCATATTTCACTGCATAGATTTACATTTTAGCGGGTTTGTTTAAAAAAATTGTTTTAACATCTGTTCAAAATAATGCAGTATACATTAAATGAAGTGTATTAGTAAAAAAGTGAAATAAAATCTGAGATCTGGCAGGATATATATAAAATCAGTTTCTACAAGAATAAATTAAAATTAGAATGTTTAACATTAAGAAACAAAACACGTGCTATGCAAACATGGTTTTAAGAGTACATGACTAATAGTGACTAGATGGGGTTGAATAATCTGGAAGTACATTTTAAGCAGTTTAAGCTGTTAATAAAACATGGAAAAATTATCTACATATATTATTTAGATAATGTTTTTCTTAAATGCTCAGAATATTTGGACAAGATATCCATACCTGTATATTCAATGCTTGAATTCTTCAGTCATTTTTTTCAAAGAAAAAATATATTTGGATTATGTAAATCCATCATATTTCAGCTATTTATTAAATCAGTTTTATCTGGTTTTTCCCTATTTTAATACCATATACAAATTGGGAGGGTGGTACTATACTCAATTACTTGAGTATATACATTATTAACAATAATCATATGGACTATATATGGGTGGGCAGCTGTAATAAATTAATAACAATAATACTTTGCTTTAGAAACATGAGTAAATAATACTCATGATCCTAAATATTACTTTTTTACATGAATTGTAGATATCTAATGAAAATTGGTGAAGAAATGTGACCTTTCCTAAAATGGAAAGGTTACAACCAGCTGTGTGTAAATTTATAACTTACACAGCATCTGATGTTGTTCCCAATCTGCAGATTAGTTTGGCCCTCTATGGGCAATTAATATTGAGAGAGCAAAGATTTAAGAAGATTAAATGAGCTTCCTGCTTGACTTCTAGTTCAATCACTATGCTGCTGATTTTTTTTAAATTTTTTTTTTTTAAAAAGTTAATAATTTGGACAAACAAGAACTGTATTCATTCGCTATTATCAATATAGTGCTATAAAGCACTGCAATGACTTGTAAAGTGGCATGAGCACCTACCTGTTGCAACTTAAAGCAGCTATGGCTTTTCTGGGGAATTTGGTTTAAGGAGGCAAATGCTACTTTTATATTACCACATGCTGCAGAACTTTCTTCAGATCTTAAGACCTCTAATTCAGGAAAAGAGTGGCTGAGTTTTGCTCTACAGTTCCACAGTCTGATGTATTTTCCATGTTAGAGATAATGACAATTGTAATTCAGAATATCTGAAGAGCAACAAGCTGGGAAATTCATACTCTTTTACAATTGATAGCAGTCCCTATATCTGAAGATCTTTTATTTTTTATTGAAGCAAGATTCCTCCCACTCGACCCCATGTTATATATAATAAGCATATTGGCTGGCATTTCTGTTTGATAACAAAATTTAAGCCAAGGTCTCCATTTTCACTTGAAAGTACTTACAAAAAATATATACAAACAAATATAAAAATAACAGGAAAAAAAGATTTAAAAAAAAGAAAAGAATATCCACTTCTGTGTTGCTTAGATTTTTATAGGATAGAGGGTTTTATTTGATTTATTATGGATAAATGACCCATAAATATATGGTAAACAGATATTTTCTGTGAGGGAGATATGTACTTTCAAATTTGATTTTGAAATATTTGGTTTTCAGCCAAATATATTATTGTATTTCTGTAGCTAACAAAAGTGTCAATATATATAATATTCTCCCAAATCTCAATAGCAAGATAAAGTCTACTCATAATGCAGTCCACCAAAAAATTGCCCAAGGAAATTATTAGAAACCTTTCAAAAATTTCTTTAGCTAACAATGGAATGCATATTTTATGCTGTTCCAACCCTCCCCCCCCCCCAACTTTGCAGGCCTCTCAAACTCTCTGCATGCCTCTTTTTCACAAAAAGACCTGCAGAGTACACCTGGGGGCTGAGGAGGGCAAAAACTATTTTTTTAAAAAATTACCTCTTCGAAATCTTGGTACTTCTACTCCGTTGCGTCTTATGGTCCGAAAAATATGGTAATAGTGGCAAATAAACCCATTTCTTTGCCTGTTGTCTTGGTTCTTTTGCCTAATGCATCTGACAGCATAATTTTATATTTGGAAGACAAAAGTTCAAACAGCAGGCAAAACAATATAATTTTTGCATTTGGCAGTCTGAAAACTCAACAGCATAGGAGCTGTATGCACAATGCACTGGAACAATGCATATTTGATTTTGAAATCTGTCTGAGAAGAACAGCCTGTCTCAGAAACATACAAAGATGACACATTACTACTGGTATTTTTCCTTATGCCCAAAATGGCTTCTAATCTCTGTAATATGATTAATGATCCTCCATGCATATCCATTTCCTCTCCTCAGTTAGTTACAGTATGCAGTCAATTGTTGCACAGATGAAATCTTCGTGTATCATTTTATAAAGTTTATTTTCTAAACTTTCAGTGCTTGGAAAAGTTTAAAAAAACATAAAACTCAATTGTAGGTATTAGAACATTGGAAAAGACATAAAATTAAATACCCCCTTTTGAGTGTTTTGTTTTTAGCTTAAAATTGTCAAAATGATTGTTTTGAGGAGAGAACATTTCATTCCTACTTAAAATTAGTACCCTATTGAAATTGTATTAGATACTTCTATAGATCAAAACATGGTGCTTTTTAAAAAAGTAAATCTTCACTTGCAAGTATTAAGTAAGATTATTGTGTGTCTTTATTAAGATCACAGCAGGTGGCACTGCCTAATTGAGTTTGGCTAATCTTGGATAAAGCTAGACTTATATCTTCATTGCACAAAGATGTATTCATTGATGTCTGTATCTATCCAGAGAATTCTTATGTGCTAGCTTGTATTAATCCAAATGGATAGAGATAAAGTGAGCATGTTCCAAGTTCTCAAACCTACTAAACTGAAAGTGATTCCATGCAATTAGAATGGTTCACTGAAAACGTAGTATGCACTACATTACAGTAGTGCTCATATCATCAGGAAAATAACAGAATAACGGAAGGGATCTTGGATGTATTTTAGTCCAACCTCTTGTTCACGCAGGAAGCCCTATACCAGTGATGGCTAATCTTTTCGGCAACAAGTGTCAAATCTGGAGTGTGCACCCCAAAGCACCAGAACCTGAAAGGGAGCAGCTGGCCCATGTGCATGCATGTGGCAGCCAGCTGCCCTTTTGGATTCTGTTGCACACATACATGCTGGACAGCTGATCTGTGCGAAAAACAGCTAGCCGACACGCATGCACACAACAGAACTTGGAAGAGCAGCTGCGCACATGCGCGCTGGACTAGCTGGCCGGCGCACGTGCACGCAATGAAACTCAGAAGAGCAGCTGGCGATGGCACGTGTGCCAATAGAGAGGGCTCTGCGTGCCACAGGTTTGCCCTCACGGCCTTATACCATTTCAGACAAATGTTTGTCCAGTCTCTTCTTAAAAATTTTGAATGCCTCTATAATATGTCACAGCTGTTGCTGAGGATTCCAAGACTGAGATCAAGATGCAGGGCAGATGATAAGCCTTTGACTATTCTGAAGAGTTCTACTGAACAACAACCAAGAAAACAGAGGAGGTCAAAGAAGAAGCTACTTTGTGGTCTTTGCTGCCATATGAATGGGTCGACATATGTCTGATGAACCATTTGCATTCTAGCTATGTCATCCTTACAATCCCCATCAGAACTCGTCAGAAATCCAGGGAAAAGCATGGGCTCTCCAGGCCTGATGTGATAAATGCTAATCTATTATGTAATAGAAATAATTTATCTCTAAAGAAAAAAGAAACCCACAGATAATGGAACATTGTGTACGTTTCACAGTTCTTAGAAGAATTAACTAATGTTTATGAAGTGAGAGAATCACAAGTTATAAAGTGATTAATAGAAGAAAAAAATTGTCCTGGTTTTATCTTTTTAAGTGTTAGAAATTTGAAAAAAATAAAATGTTAATCATTAATAATATTGTAATTAGATAGAAGAGGAAATGAGGATGATGAGAGGAAGATAGATATATAAAACATGGACATATCCCTTACCATAAGTTTTCAGTGGAACAAAATAATACATTTTTTTAAAAGTCGATCATCATTGGGTTATTCCAGATAACTGTTTAGTAATTCAAGAATGTGTGCAACAAATAGCTGGCAAGATTGCTATTTACCTTTTATTTTACATGATTTCATTTTAGATTTCTGCCAGATGTTCATTGTACTTTTGGTACAATACTATATTTAAATTTTCTGTCAGTTTTGCGAACCTTCTTTCTGTTCGTTAATCTCTCATGTACTTCTTATCTTTATTGAAGAATTAGATGCTTATTCAATAATTCACTGCATTGATTACTTTTCTGGATTATTCAAAGAATAAAGTTTGAGGTACTTCTTTAGAAGTATTTATATATAATTTCAGATGTGAAATTAACTTTAGCAAAAGCACATTTTTTTAATTAGTTCAGTATGCTGTATTGTGAAACTTTCCTGGAGATTTTTTTAAAAAATAGCTCCCTGGTCAATGAGAAGACATAATTACTAAATTATTATTAAAGTTCCACTATTTCTGTATTAGATTTCTCAGTATTTTATAAGGGAACATCAGGAAACATCTACCAGAGGTTCTCTGGAAGGGAGAGGAATGAAGCTGCACACAATCTGATTTCATTAGTAGGAAATTAGTGTTTGCAAAAAAGGTTGTTGGCGGGATAGAAGAAGTCTCATTGCCTTGCTCGCCTCAGTAACACTTTTTCAGCATTCTGAAAGAGAAGACACAAGCTGCATGGAGAGGAAAAATTAATGCGTGTGAACTTTTTCCTGGAAACCACTGGTAATTTAGGGACAAAAATATTTACTCATTTTCAAGTTTCATAAACAGAGGATTAAACTTGAATTGTTTCTCTAGGTAGCATTATTATATTTTATTGTTGTAAATTAGCTTTTTTAAAGGTGAGATATGAGTAACAATTATTTCTCATTGAAAAGATTTTTCCTTTTTTAGCAGGTGGACTCAAAGAAAAGTACTAATGTTAGAGATCTTGATTCCTCCTGAGTAGTTAATTTTGCTTCAATAGATTTTTGTAAAGACTACCAGTATAATGATTGTGAAATAAATGTGTACTTTGTGTTCATAATTTTGACTTGAAATATCCAGTTAAATTAAAGAGTTTGGGCAGCCCTTGTTAAATTGTGGTTTTGGTTGATCCTTAAGCAAACAGAAACAGCACAATATTTACATGATAGAAAATGAAATACATTATTTTACAAATTTGAATATATGCTTATGGTTTGTGTGCAGTTGTTTTCAGATTCAGAGTAAAGGAGCAGTAAATATGAACTTTGCAGTTTTGACAACCCTTTAATTGATTTAGTGCTACTTCTTTTAAACTGCTGTAAAGTTATTAATAAGATCCCACAAGATGATTGATCATTAGAGAAAACGGGGGGGGGGGGGATTCTCTGAACCTTGGAACTATTCATCTATCCACAATACATTTGGAGGGGGGAAAAAGATGAAGCATTTTGGGTACACTTTGCCAACTTAAAAATAGGGGAGGTCTCTATTTTGCTTTGAGGATGTGTAACAACCAGTGCCATGGGAAATATTGCTAAGGGTGGCTAGAAGGTAATGTCCCACAGTCAGTGGGGAAAAAACTTAAACTGAAAATCAGTTACGTATTTCTTCAAGATTATTATCTGAAACCAGTTTTGAGGCATTTACAAAAAAGATGAAAGTTTTGGAATAATCTTCACAGTCCTGGAATATTATTGAAAATCTGGGGAATCTCAAAACATGCAGTTTGTGGAAGGAGACTTAAGAATGCTCAGATTTCTGAGTTAGAAGATTTCCGCAACTGAAGAGTGAGAGAAATTCAAAAACCAAGAATAAAAAATGGTTTTTGGTTGACTACAGTATATGTTTAGAAGTGTTATTACTGCAAGGTAAAAAAAGGTAAAGGGGTCCCTATTGATTGTACTCCACTAGTTGCTGCTGACTAAAGGGGGCAGTGCTTATCTCCCTTTTAAGGCCATTGAGCCAGCGCTGCCTGAAAACAATTCTGTGTACATGTGCCCAGCATGATGTCACGGAGCGCTGTTACCTTCCCATAGAAGGTAGTCCCTATTTATCTATTTGTATTGGCATGCTGTTAAACCACTAGATTGGCAAGAGCTGGGGTGAGGACAGGAGCTCGCCCCATCCCATGATACTCTGGTCTCGAACCTACAGCTGCTACCTTTCCAGCTGACAAGCCCTTAGTGGTTAAGATAACCTTTATCTTAACCACTAAGTCATCGCACTGCCCTACCAGTGCAAGTGGAGTTTGTTAAAAAGAACTGAGTGGTAGGGTATCCAAATTACTTTGATTGCTGTAGTCATTATTTCCTTCTTTTGAATCTGTAAACAAATGCACATAAAGATATGTAGTATAGCTTTATTTAGAAACTTCAGCTGTAATTTACATTGTAGGCAGAGGTCTATATTTCAGTTTATCTCTTTACATTGTCAAGATCTTAGTTGAAGAAAGAAGAGTTAAAAGTGAGAACTGACATATATAAAAATATCCTGATGCAGTGAGGTTCTATAGTTTGAGAACAAAATTGTTCAGTTTAATTGTGGTGCAGCAAATCAAGTAATAGACTCTCTAAATCAAGAATGTTACAGGAAAAGAATAGATTCATACAAAAGACAAATAAATACTTTCCCCACAAAATAGCACATCTAGGAAGAGCCACAGAAGTTCCTAATAGTCTTAATTAGATATAAGGATTTTAAGATTGCTTAGTTTATGATATTTATACTTTAAAAAAGAGATAACTCCTGTAAGAACATGGCTAATGGCAAAGTTTCTATTGACTTTGTATAATTAGTATCACTTTTTAAACATGAATTGTTCATTATTATTTTTTAGAAACAGAACTCAGTATCTACACATTGATACATTTTAATATAATCTTGGAGCAGTAAAAAACCACACACACTTGTATATAATAATAAAATTTCTTGAATATGTATAAAGGTTCTCCTAAAATTCTTTGTTTATCCTACAAAATATTTGATTCGTTATGAATATTTTTAAAAAATTTTGGACATTAACATCAAATGTATTGGCTTATGAAAAATATTTAGAATTTGGACTTTTGAACAATAAAGCTCCTATACTAGAATTGCTTGTAGTTGCATGGAGGTTGAATTGGCGGTAATTTCTTGTTAGATTAGTTTGTGTTGCATTTATAAACTGCACAATTTTTCAAAAATACTATATTGTTTTTGCATTTATTTAGCACTTCTCAAAAAAAAAGATGTGTGAGAGTGAATATTTGAGTGTTGCAACTGTTTTGCAAGTTCTGTTTGAGTTTTCAAGTGTAGTAAATGATTTTCTGGTAGCATACATTTCAGACAGAATCTTCCTTTGAGTGTTAAAATTAAAGCAGGGGTCCATATTTAAGCTTCCCATCCAATGTTTTAATGTCTTTTCTGTTTTTGAATAATGGCTTTGGTCTATTTTATCTTTAAATGATTACGTTTGGGTGGGGAAACGTTGTGGGAGATATGGGTGAACTGCAGCATGGCACTTTTTCAAACATTTTTCGTGTGCTTAGGTACATCCAAGCAGAAGTCAACTTCCCTTCAGGTAGCAGATCAGGAACTACTATCACCTTTTCACCCATACCAGCCTTTGGAATGTATAGTAGAAGAAACTGAAGGCAAGCTCAATGAACTTGGACAGAGAATTAGTGCAATTGAAAAAGCACAACTTAAATCATTGGAGTTGATTCAAGGTGAACCTTTGAATAAAGATAAAATTGAAGAGCTCAAAAAGAACAGAGAAGAACAAGTACAAAAGAAAAAGAAAATACTGAAGGAGCTGCAAAAGGTGGAAAGGCAATTGCAGATGAAAACACAGCAGCAATTTACCAAAGAATATTTGGAGACCAAAGGTCAGACAGAGGCTCCCCTTACTCAGCAGCAGCAGTGTCCACATACAGGTGTCCTACCAGAACTGGAAGGAAATGAAGGCCTTCCTGGGGATAACCTTTCAGGGTTGTCACAGGTTGACAGTGTCCTGCATAAAGATGAGCAACAACACTCTCCTTCATCTCCTGAGCAAACTGAGTTTGCCCCTCTTCAGCCTCTCGCAGCACCACAGTGTAACTTTTCAAGTAACATAGGTTGTAATGGGACAGATTCTTTTGAACTTCAGAAAGTATTAGGTAATCAGCAAACTATAGAACAGCAGCAACCAATTGCTGGACATGTTCAGGGACTGTTAGTTCAAGAACCAGATGGATTAATGGTTGCCTCGCCAGCACAGACGCTTACCGACACTCTTGATGACCTGATAGCAGGTGGGTTGAGAAATGTACCTTTTCTTGAATAAATATGTGTGTTATTAGTTTCTTTTGTTCCCATTATCTTTCGCAAAGTTTTCTAGCCCCCCCCCCTTTTTTTTTTACAGTTTTTATTAGTTTTAATGTTAGCATTCAGTTACATCAAACTTTTTGGACTGTTTAATCCAAAGCAAAATGTTTTGCTTTATTGGATTTTTACTGTATTGATCCAATTTGGGTTTCATTTCTGGTGTAATAACTATTATGGAAATCTTTTCAAGAAAATATGTCAGTTTATAGAATTGTGCAAATAGTTGATTAGGCAACATTTGTGAGACGATAGTATCTGATTCTTTGTAGGGGTTCTCTTCATAATCACTAGATAGTGACATTGTTGACAAGTTGACATTGTTTGATTCAAAGGAATAGTTGAATTACATATCAATAGAACTCAATCTCTTAATTACTTTTTTATTTTATGTAGCTATAGAATGTTATAAGCCTATAGTCATCCATAAGATGGAATAGTTTTGAAAAGTATTACTCCACTAATTAAAGATAAAGACCAAAGATACTTGGAAGTGAGTGAAGGAGTGAGAATAGGTTATATTTGGTAATAAATGGGGCTTTATTTACTTGCCCATTTTGTATATTTGCATGTTGTCCCAATCATAGCTATCCCATCAGGAAAGCACTTCAAATTAGGATATTTGGACTCAAATGATAGATTATTCGCTAGACAATCACAGAGTCTCCCTATAAAATTTTTAATCAAGCCCCCCCCCCCCCCAATCTCTCACACTCACAGGAACCATGTTGAATAGAATAAAAATGCCCATTAATTAGCATATTTTCTCATAGTAGCCAACTAACATGAATGTGAAATTCCAAAGCAAGAGTAAACCCAATTCAGAAGTGGATATTGCAAGACTTATTGATTATGTTACTGATAGTATATAGCTATTTTATCTGGCTAGCAATTGATAATTTTATTCTCCATGAAATTGCTTAATCCTCTTAAAGGATACATGCAACTTGGTGACATTACTACATATTATAGTATCAAATGGTAGCACATTGTGTGCTATGTAAAGAAAAAAAAATCATTTTATTTGTACTAAATATATCACCATTCTTTTTCACTGGATGACTTTAGAAAGAGCTGTTCCCAATCAAATTTCTTTGATTAGCAGTAGTTTAATGAGCTGCCCAAGGTAGCTCATTGTTCACCCATTAAGGGTGCCCCCAGCTGCTCACTTTAATGCATTGGTAGAGGCACTGTCAACTCTTACTGATGGGTGGCTAATTGTTCTAGAAAACCCACCTAAATAAAATGAAAATAGGTGTTGTAGGAGATGGATTAGTATGGAAGTGGATGGGTCAGCTTTTAGCCACAATGAGCTTTTATTTCTGCTCTGTCTTCAAAGTGGCTGATTGATTTCACCTAATGATAGGGTTTATTCTAATCAGTTTTCTTAAATTATTGTATCTGTTAAGAGGTAATTCTGCAGGTGTTTTTTAATGGTAAGCAACAGTCCATGTTTTGGGAGGTTTTGTAACAAAAATGAAATTAAAATCTTATTAAACAGATGAATAATTTTGGAAAATGGAAAAAAACCAGTTATTACCATACTGATAGGTGGAGGATTCATAATTCCTTACATGAAAATGTCTTCATTGAATTCTATTCTAAGTTTTTTTTCCTGACCAGCACAGGTAGTCCTCACTTAATGATGCTGATTGGGACCAGAAATTCTGCCGTTAAGCAGCATTGTTGTAAGAATATTTTTTTTAAAAAACCACATAACTGCACTATTTAATGATGGCAGTTCTCGCAGTCCCGATTGCCATCATTAAACAAGGGTCCAATAATTAGTATGTCAAGTTATGATCACATGAGATTCTTGCTTAATGCATAAGTTCTTAAGCATCTCATGTGACCTTGACTTGTGACTGCCAGTTTCCACGTTGATTTTGCTTGTCAGAAATTAATAGAAAAGGTCACAAATCGCAACTCTCCAAATAATTAGAAAACCTTACCAGTTTATTGTCAGTCATAAGAAAACTAACTCAAAAAAATTTATAAAGAACTTCAAAAATACTAGTGCCAATGAAAATCTACAAGGACTTGTTGATTGCATCTGGTGAAAACTGACCATTGCTATTGACTAATTTCTGTTCAATCTCTTTTCTGATTAACAGCTGAATTTGGTTTAGATGATTGGTTTTATCAAAAACCTTTGTGTATCTGTCAGATTACCATATTTTGTTGAACCTTTCAAAAGAATAGTAAAGAATATGCCATGATTTAATTTACCAAAATTATGTTGGCTTTTCTTCAACAAGATGTAAATCTTTAAAAATACTTTCAGTGGTCTCTTTTTAGTATTATAACATGTTCAATAATTCTAAAACAATTAACTTTCAGATAAATTTGAATTGAACTTGGATTAGAAAAGCAATTCCATCCGTTGTCATTACTTTTGCATGAACTGTTCAGATTCTGTCCCTCAAAATAATGATTTAGGCAGTGGTTTCTTTTTTATTTCTTTCCAGCAAAAAGAATTTAAACAATTCTCTTATCTATGTTATTTAGTGTTTATCCATTTTTATTCCTTTAATATTCAGTAAACTATTTATGGTAAGTGTGGGTTAATCTGATGGAAAGTTAATAATTTAACATTAAACCAAGTACTTAAGAATTATAAAGGTAGCATCTAAATAGGCAGTTTCAAGCAGGTTTGTTAAAAAAAAAGAGTGTTCAAGTCTGATAAATTCAATATTTCTAGTTATTGAGAAAGTCCTTTAGGTATCGCTCCAATAATTAGTATATCGATTTTTATCCCACATACACTCAACTTTGACTTGAAAGTCCTGATATTTTGTAATTTTTTCCAGTCATTTTTCCTCACTTCTAGCTCACTCCTGGAGTGGCAACACCAATGAACAAGACTTTATTTTCAATAACTGTTATATCGGGCATGTTATAAACAAGATGCCTGTCTGTTTGGATCTTAAAGTCTCATAAGACCTTAGCTGAATAATAGTAATTATTATTTGTTCACAAGAATGTGAAGTGACAGTTGCCAGTATTTTAGTTTGCATTGTCCTTCATAACCATCAAGTTCTTTCCAAGAACCTAGGATGTTGTAATGTATTGGTATAGTATATATGTGGATTCAAGCCTTTTATAATTGACAAAATTGGGAAATTTTGTCAATGTGCAGATTATCCAAGTTCCATGCAAGATCTTTTGGTGTGGCATCCAGTGTGCCGATAATCACTGGGACCACCAAGGCTGGTTTATGCCATAATCTTTCAACTTCAGTTTTCAGATCTTAATACTTTGTGATCTTTTCCAATTCTAGTCTGCTATCCCCTGGTATTGCTACATCAATTATCCTTAATTTCTTCTTTTCAATCACAAACATATCTGGTGTGTTATAATCTTAAGACTATCAATCTGTAATTAGAAAGCCCACAATATTTTAACGATATTTTCAACTACTTTTTCAACTATATTTTTCCACCAATTTTTCATTACAGTACATGATAATTTTACAGATGTTCCAGTGAATCATTTTGATGACTGTTGTTTATAATCAGTGCAAGAGCTGAGCATTTGATCTAATATTCTTCTATTTCTTTGCACAATTTGCACATGATTTTTCAATTCTGACTTAGCATTAGTTTGAAACTTTGCTCATGAGCACCTAAAATCAAGCCTTCATTTTCTTTTTTAATGTTCTAGTTATAAGCCAGTGCCAGGTTTTATATTTATCTACTTTTCCTCTCTTTTTTTAAGAAATTGGCCATGTACAGTAGTATGTTTTCTTACCGGCATTCTGTTTGTGTTTTTATTACATTATTCAATATTTTTTATTTCCTCTGCATTTAGTAAATTCCAATTTTTAACTGGCATCCATGGCTTTTTTTTCCACAATCCCGGCTTTTTTCATAATCAAATTATTCTTTTCTTCTACGGTGTTTTGTTTGATTTGTGTCTCTATCATCATCTTTATTTATTTATTTAAAAATGTATTGGCCTTAATATTCCTGCAATATTGCCCTTAACTATTTTATTTTTTGCATTTGTCATTAGCTGGTTTCTGCATTTCTTTAGGAAACTTTCTATTTTATAAAAGTAGGCTTTCATTTTTATGGCATTTTTGAGGTTGCTTATTAATCCTAATGATTTATTAGAGTTTTCTCATTTAAACTATACATTATTGCTGAGGGTTAGGGGGTAGGGGAAGCCTACTCATTATGGTTGTAAGTCATAACAATCATAAAATGGGTCAATCACAGGATCAACCTAATTTAATGTTTTTTGTGGCAGTTCTTAAATGAGCACTACAATCTTAAGTGCAAACACTGCATTCATTAAGTGAACTTGTTTAAAAACTGGAAGTGCCAGCTTTCTGCAAAACTATAGTAAAACACAGTCATATGACCCCAAGACCCCACAAATGGCCATGAATGTGGCCATGATGCTGAGCTCATGAAGTGCAGTCACATGACGGGAAGATTAAATTCAGAATCACTATTGCTCTTGTCACTTTGCTGACCAACATTTCTAGTCATAAACCTCTTTAGAATATCATAAAGTTCAGGGAGAAGATTTTATCTTGTCATTATAAATGGAATATGTGCCTAGCATATCCATAGGAAAGTCAGCATGGTTCCTCATAGTTCAGGATACTCTTCATTCTTCTTGATAAAGTGGGGGACTCTTTAAGGGAGGGATTGGGCCTGCTGATCTCAATTTTTTATCATTGCAACAGTGTTCTCATCAGAAAGTAGAATTATCATAGCTTCTTGGGCAAGACCTCAAAATGTTGATTAGTTACAAAAAGATTTCTTCTCTTTGTTCTGGTAGACTTACAGTGGGAATATACACTATATTGCCAAAAGTATTCGTTCATCCATCCACATAATCAGACTCAGTTGTGAGCGAATACTTTTGGCAATATAATGTACATATAAAAATAGCTCCTTCTTCTCTACAGACAAGAATA